TCCAGCGGTTACGGCAGGAGAAAAGAAAGAGGAAAGGTTTGGTAGGAGGTGAAAGGCACCAATTGGGCTCAGGCTCACAGGGAAAATTTCTACCCGCTAATTAAAACGGCAGCTCAGGGATGGGAGTTGCAACATCCACGCCCAGCACGGACCTGCCACGCTGTCTGGGGAACTGCTGGAGGAAGTGAAAACACACTGGTAGTGACCCTGGCTCTGAACCAAATCCAGCCAGCCCAAAAGAAAGGAGGCAAAAAACCTGAACCAAAACTGCTGTGCAAGGCGAGGGCTTCTGCATCGAAGCTGGGTGCTCTCTGCCCACCAAGACAGAGAAACCATCCAACCCAGCACGGACCTGCCACGCTGTCTGGGGAACTGCTGGAGGAAGTGAAAACACACTGGTAGTGACCCTGGCTCTGAACCAAATCCAGCCAGCCCAAAAGAAAGGAGGCAAAAAACCTGAACCAAAACTGCTGTGCAAGGCGAGGGCTTCTGCATCGAAGCTGGGTGCTCTCTGCCCACCAAGACAGAGAAACCATCCAATCTGGAGTGCTGAGAAGTGTGAGGTGGGACTCTGCCCTGGTCAGAGGGGCTCTGAGCCAGGCTTGGACCCTCCTGCCACAGGAGTCCCATGGGGCTTGGGGCCCCAGACGCAGCTGGGGAGGGAATGAACCCCCAGAGGGAGGCTTTGTCTGGGGAGGAAAGGGCAGCCCAGCTGCAAATGAACCCCCCTCCCACCATCAACCTCTGAACTGGGCTTCACTAATGAGGTCAATGAAGTCGTGTGGATGCCCAATGCATGACAACACTGCGGGGCCAGCTGACACCACAGAGGCTGCAGGCCAAGAGCCCAGTGGCAACTAGAGAAAATCATGGAAGAAAGCTCTCTGCTGACTATCTGGGCCACAAGAGCCCAGCCAGGGTGTGATGCTCAGCTCAGGACACCCTCCAAGGGCTGCTGGGCAGGGCCAGGGGCTGGCCAAGACTGGCTCCCTGCACATCCTTGTCCCCCTTTGCTTTTTAGGCAGATGCTCCATCCTCAGGACACATCAGCTCTGGGCACCCACCACCAGACAGCACTGCAGGCTCTGACTTCCAGAACCCATGGGACGAGAGGCCCTCCTGTAGCCACCTCCCCATGCTGAGCCCTCTGCTGTGGGGAGCTGGCGAAGGCTGGATGCAGTCACGATGCACCAAAGCCCGTGCCGGCAAGATCCGAAATCTCACCACCACCACCACCAAGACCCACACCCTTTACCTTCAAATGTGACTGTTGTCCTGGGGGTGGCATCCAGGTCAGAGGCAGAACGCCGTGACTGGTAGCCCATTGCTGCCGCTGCCACGAAGAAAGTCGTCAGGAGATGGGCTGTGCCTCCAGTCATCTTCTCGTTCCCCCAGCGAGGGCAGCTGCCCAGCCTGCTGCTGCCGGGTCAGCACAGCCAATCCTTGGGAAGCGCTCCCCAGCTCCTCAGGACAGGGCTGGCCACCAAACCCTCCTGAAACACAGAGCACCAGGTCAGATGTCCCGCTGTCCCCAGCACCTCATGGACAAGTGGGCTTGGGAAGGAGCCAGCCGCACACACATATGGACGCTTGACTGGGCACAACCTCAGCGCAGGGATGGCCTCAGGGAAAAGCAAACCCTCTTTTGCCAAAGGGGAAATTGAGACATGGTGCAAGGCATAAAGCTTGCGGCCAGCACAGGGCAGGGAGGGGAGTTTGAGTAGAGTGACCCCACGCAGCATCCCCATGGCTCAGCAACCACATTTTTCTCCAGGCCTGGTCTGGGCTCCTCCCTTCTTAACTCTGAGCTGTCTCCTCCCGCAGCTACCCCTGACCAAAGAATACACTTTAGAAGAGCCAGCTGATCCCCCATTGCAGTTTCACACCCAAAAAGGAGGCATGTTTACCCTCAAAAGCAGAAAGCAGGGCTCTGGGCCAAACCCCTGTGTGAGTCTCTTGGCATACTGGGGTACCCCAGGCCCAGCTCCCCAGAGCAGCTGTGGTGGGATGGGCAGCAGGGGGCTTCCTGGGAGCCCAAGGGCTCTGCTCCTCCCCAACAACATGGCTGGCCATCTCCTGCCATGCAAGACACTTTTCCACAAAGTTTTGCCCCTCCTGAAATGATGAGAGTCCTGAGGACAGAGTCATGGGGAAGGATGCTTCAGGCATGCAACACAGCGATGCAAAGCAAAGGAAAATCCATACAAGGAGCTGCTTGACATCTTCATCAAGTCTTTTCAAGCGAGAACAGTTTCCGGTCCCCCTGCAGTGTTTTTTCATGATATTTCAGTTTCTCTTTCATCCCAAGCTGCCTTGAAGCTCAGCATCTACCTTGGCTCTCGCTTTCATGCATCTGATACCTCCCAAATAACCCCCCTGCCTCCTGGCTGCTTCAAGCAAAGCCACCAGTTCATTTTGCAGGTGTTAAGAAAGAAGGAAATGATCAGGTGTCTCCAAACAGGAGAGCTCTGCATAGCGTGACCAGCACCTCTATGTTCACTTAGGGTTGGGGGTTTTTTTATATATATAAACCCAATACCTGGCCCTGTAGAAAAGCTGTTCTAACACGCTTGCTGCAGACGGTTTCCCTGAAGCAAATACCTCGCTGGGTCCCAGGCAGAGGGGAGGTAAAACCAAAGTGAAACGAAAGTGAAAAGGGCTCTGAGGCTGAAAATGAGAAGCGAGGGGCTGGCTGTGGAATCCAGCCATGGTCCTGGAACTTGCATCAAACCACTGTTTCCTTTTTGGGGGGTTCAGAACCAGACCTTGCACCTGCGCTGGCTGCTGCCCTGAAGCATCCTAGGAATGGTGAAGAGGGGGGATGTCCCCTGCTGCTCCCTCCTGCCTCACGGTCACCTAGGCACTGGCCCAGTGCAGAGCATCCATACAGCACCCAATTTCCAGAGTGGGCAGGGTGCTGCCCATGGGGCTGAGCTTCCTGGAGCGCAGAGGACACTGACCTGGAGAATCTCCCTCCAAGAAACTCCTGTTTCCAGGGGGTAAGGGTCTGGACCCTTAACCAGACCAAGGGTCTGCCCCTGAGCAATGAGCCTGGCAGCGTGATACAAGGCAGGTGAGAGGGGATGGAGGTCAACAGGAAAGCAATTGCTTTGGTGGCAACATGTCTGGCACAAGCCAAATCCACCAAGCTTTTTGAGCAAAGCAAGCAGCAGGGTCATATGTAGAACACCCACAAGCAGCCCGGCCAGCCCTGTGTTGACAGCTCTCGATCGCGCCAGCAGGACCAGTGTCAACCCAGCAGCTGTGTGGACCCTTCCCCAGGCCTTCACGCAGGGACATAAGCCCAGAATTGTACACAAGCCACAGGAGCTGCCACACACCTGGGCTGGGACAGCAGAGGAGAGGAGAGACCTTCTTACGACAAGGCAAACAATGATTTTTAATAAATGAGTAACAGCCCTGTGAGCTGCCTGCATGCTGCCAGGCGTCCTGGCCTTATCTCCACTGAATAAACAGCCCTGAACTTTGCCTGCTGCCCAGCTCTGGGCACGGTGGGGATTGGAGCTGGGAGGGCGGCTGGGCAGGGAGGCAGCGACACTGGGCAAGCGCAGTGCTGCGATCCATCCCCGGCTAACATTTAACCAGCAGGAGCACCCAGCCAGCACAGGGAGGAAGAAATAAAAGTAAGAAATTAAGCTGTGGGGCTGTGCAGGGCTCCCAGGCAGGCAGGGGCAGGGGGGAGCAGCCTTCTCTGCTGCCAGGGTCAGGCTCCTCTGCTTTTTCCAAGGCAGCAGCTACAGTAATTTCCAAAGGCTCCTTTGTCCAGGATCAGACGTAACTTTGTCCTAAAGGACATTTAATCAGTTATCTGTAAAAGCCAGTTAATATTTTACTCGAAGGGAAGGGCTGCTCTGAGCTTCTCTTTTTTATTTTCATACCTAGGGTGGGGGAGAAAGAGAAAGGAGGAAATGAAATCACCTTTGATTCTGCTCAGATCATCACCCTCAGCTGCAGCAGCACCAAATCTCTCAAAACTCATCACTGCCCCCCTCAGCAGGATGCAAGGTCAAAGCCCCACATGAAGGCAAGGGCTGGCATCCAGGGCAGGAGGCAGAGGGCATCTCAGTCCCCGAGACCTGCTGGTTAGGCTGGGGGCAGTTGGGTTACTCAAGCCCAGCTCTTCCATGGGAAATAGAGAAAAGTCAAGAGGGGAAATGCCACAGAGAGGGGGAGGGAGACAAAATGGGGAGAGGAAGAGGCTGAAAAGCAGCAGCAGCTCCAATGCTATCTGGAGTGATCTTCCAATCCCCTTGGCACCTCACCTATTTCCTAATGCAGAGGGGGCTGACATAGGACCCAAAATACATCCCCAGCTCCCACTCCAGTCAGTGACACTGAAGGAGAAGGGTGGTAGAGGCAGGATCTGGCCACAGGGCTGATGGCCACCTCGAGAGTGAGGTGAAGCCAGGAAGCAGCCA